ATGTTGATAGCCTCATAAAGGGAGTATGGGCAGTGGTACTTGATAATCTTAGAAAATTCTAAGATGCAGTGATATTTGTACAAGTTTTGAGCCGTAAGTATTTTTAATCTATTAAAAATGGGTTTTGTATGTTCCTTTTCAAAGTGTTTATGGTCTAGTTTTTGCATACCGTATGGTCTAGTACGTGCACATGTTGATTGTTTATCTAAATATGAGTCAAGGTTGCCAAAAAGGATCCTTATACAGTGCTTCTGTGTGATGAAAAGACTATCATTGGACCGTTCTTTGAGGACAACACCCCACACACTTATACCATAACTGAGATGTGATTCAAAAAGAGCATTATATATTTTTAAATATAGTTCAGAAGGTATCGAGTGCCGAATTCTGCAGATTGCACCAGTCATAGATCGCAGTTTTTTACGGATGTAGTGCATGTGGGCAATCCAGTTTAGCTTACTATCTATAACAACACCTAAGAATTTGGTATCCTTGACTTTAGTAATAACCTTACCATTGATGAATATTGATCTAGATTCATCTAGCAGGATAGCAAATGGTCTGGTCCGTGCACAGGTGTCATCATATTCAGAGGCAGGTTTAAAATGTATGTAGCAGCATTTGGACATATTGATATGAAGTAGATTACATTTCATGTAAATCGAGACATGTTTAAGTACTAAGTTGGCTTTTTTGTATGTTGCTTCTCTAGATGGTCCTGATATGAAGATATTAGTGTCATCAGCATAAAGTACAAATTTCACCTCACTGTCTGAAAAGCAGTTTACTATATCGTTCATATACAATAGGAAGAGTAACGGCCCTAGAATTGACCCTTGTGGTACTCCAAATTTCACGTCCATTGTTTCTGATGGTACATCGTTATACATAACATACTGCTTTCTGTTAGTCAAATAGCTTTTTAGTAAGGTAAGTGCTGTGCCCCTAATACCGTAGGAATTTAATTTGCATAAAAGAATATCGTGATCAAGGGTGTCGAAGGCTTTGCTCAAGTCAATGAATATCCCTAGGACATGTTTATTGCTTGCCAGAGACTTAGTAACGGAGTCTATAGATTTGTGTAGAGCATGGGTGGTAGAATGGCCTTTTCTAAATCCAAACTGTGAGTCTGTTAGTACACCTTTAGATGTGAAGAAATTATAGAGGCGTTTATAAATAACCTTCTCGAAGATCTTTCCAAATAAAGGTAATATTGATACAGGCCGATAATTTTCAATGCATTCTTTATTGTCTTTCTTGTAAATAGGAATAACTTTACCAGTTTTAAAAATACTTGGGAATGTACCACTTTGTATGCATGTGTTGTAAAGCCTAGCCAAAGTACCTGCAATGAGTTTTGCCGGTTTTTTTACGACAACTACAGGTATGTCACTGGCCTTACCATTTTGAAAATCTCGGATCACCTCGATAATCTCGTTTTCATTAGTTTCTTCCAGGTATATGGAGTCAGATACCGAATTAGACATAAACTGAGCAAATGATTCTACTGGTTCCAGAGAAATACTATTGTTTGACAGTACATTTTTATTGAGATTACTTGCAAGAGATGTAAAATATTCACAGAATTTGTTAGCAATTATTCGTCTGCAAGTAACTCTCTGGCCATCTATGACAAAATCGTCTTTACATCTAGATAAATTTTTGCCACGGAGTTCATTTATAATTTCCCAGGTCTTTTTTGAGTTCATGCTGTACTTCTCGAATTTTTGAGTATAGCACATAGCCTTTGCCATCTTTATTGAGCTCTTGAGAAACTTGTCGAATTCCTTGTAGTATATGTGCTTGTTTGGATCCCCATCAGGTAGTTTTAATGTACAAGTCTTCTTCCATTCGAAATACAACCTAGCTTTCTTGTCGATGGAGTTAATGAGGCCCTGGGTGATCCAAGGGTTGGTTATGCTGTTACGTTTAGTGGTTCTAGGAGTTAGAAGTTTGCAAGACAAATCTATCTTTTCTTGAAATAACTGCACGAAAGAGTCAAATGTGTTACAGCTGTGGTGGAACCTATCTATATCGTTTTCTATTTCAAGACAGAGCTTCTCTAAGTTAGCATTACTATAGTCGTAGTGTATAGTAATTTTGTCTGATGAATCAGGTGTTGGCACAGAGTCAGGGGAAAGTTCAATAAGAGTGAATATAGGGTGATGGTGGGAGATCTTGTCAGATATCACACCAGAAATAAGGGATTGATCTACGACATTGGTATGGATATTGTCAATACAGGTCCTGGAACAGCCAGGCATTTGGTGAGTTGGTAATGATATGGTTGGTATGAAGCCGTTGTTGAATATTATTTCTTGAAATTTGTCCTCTGATGGAGATGGGTCGTTCAAAATGTTAACATTGAAATCACCAAGAATATATACTTTTTTGCCATTCAGTTTTGAGAGAATACATTCATACGCTTTGTTGAACATCTCAAGTGATGCGTTTGGGGGACGGTATATAACCCCTACGACCGTTGGATCTTGCAAGCTAGTGATTGATACAAACAGTGATTCTATGTGTTCATTACAGAGAGATAAGTCAGTGATTTTGTTAAAGTTAAGGGAATCGTGTAGGTAAAGACACACTCCTGACCCTTTACCCTTGAACTGGTTTTTCTCTTGGCAAAAGTAGCGTGATTGGTAACAAGAGGAGTATCCGTTAAGCTGATACAGAGTTCCATTTTCGGGATTAGTGTTTGTTTCTGCAAGGCCGATAACAGAGAATTTGTGGTCGATACAAGACAATTCAACTGCAAAGTTGTCAAAGTTTGATGCATTTCCATCAATATTTAGAAATAATTTGGACAAATATTTAGCTGAATTTTTAGGTAGGATGGTGGCATTCAACTCTGTTATTGAGAATGTTTTGCAATTTTCAAGTATCTTTGAGCTGTTGTAGATAGATTCAATATAATTAACTGGCTCATCATCAATGAGGCCATTGTTTGCAAAGTGGGGAGCTTGGTAGAAAGGGTTATACCGAACGATATCATTGGCATCAGTGCATATTTTGCAGTATGTTGCATCTCGAAATTTGACTATGTTATCATCAGTTTTGCATTTTTTATGCATTATTTTGTCACACATCTGACAAGTTATGAATGGATGTCCAGCACGCACAGGTCTATTGCAGCAGCAGCAAATTTCGCATATTAGTTTGGCTATCATGACATAACTACGGATCTACGAGAACGTGGGGAAAATCTTTTTTGGGCCTTGGTAACATCACTGAACAACCTCCCATCAACAGGGCTACCTAGGATCTTATGGGCAATTGCCCGGGAGAGTTTAAAGATACCGCTTGACCCCAGGTGGATTGGGTCATCCGGCTTCTTGTATCTACAAAACTGCTTGTCCAGTAGACCCTCCTCATCAACAAAACTATCAAAATCTAAAGTGCCTATTCTAGTATTAGTATTACAGTACCCAAATAATAAACTATTAAACTCCATGGCTCTGTCATTCAGCCAGGAGGACCTAGTTGGAAGGATGGGTGAAACTATAACTTTAGAGTATGGACACATATCACAAATATTCTTGAGCTTCTTTGTCAGCTCATTAGCCCAATGTTTAACATCACCCCCTCCCCTCTTGATATTATTTACACCACAGTGTACTACAACGTTCTTGTATCCTACACAAAGAAGAGGGTCTAACTGATCTATTGTGAAACATTCAATTCTTTTCCCAGGCAGTTTGTGACCAAATGTTCCTTTACCAGCCCCAAATTTGAGGAACCGGGTGTTTGAATCACCAATAATCAATGTCGCATTGGTGCTCCTGCTTACGTAGCGAAAGGTTATACTGTATCTCAATTCCCTCTTTTCTGTGCTCTTGTCAATTCGGTGGTCCCACAGAAACTGGGACTGTTTGCTCATCACATAGAGACTACATCCCTCTATTGTCTCTACGATTTCTCCTTCAGGTTGATCCTTTTTTGTGAATTTGACCGAGCAATCACCACCTAAGGATACTGTAAAAATGGAACTATCATGGACCAATGATTGCTCGTTATCAGAGTGCTTAGGAAGAAAGCTGTTCCCGTCGGTGTACCGATTTATCAAGCACTGGTTGATTGTTGAACTAGGACATTCTTCCTTTATCTTGGAGACAAGCGGAGCGTAGGTTCTGTGCATGGGTTAACAGATAGGTGTCGAGGGGAGCAGATCTATTTGAGAAGAAACTAAGGAGACTGCTAACATTTTTGTCTTCTTCTGTGTCCTGATTTTCTGAATGAATTATTTTATCGACATCTCTAAGCATTTCGTCAATATCATCAATGACTGAAGCTGAGGAAGTGGTGGGTGTATCCTGATCAGGAACCGTAGTGGATAAAGTCTGGTCTGCAGCAGGTTGAGGTTTCTCACACTTTTCTGTTTGAGTGTCAGTGGGGGTTTCCATCATGGTGAAGAAGCAATGGGGGTACCAGGCAGACCAGGGGGCACCTTCACGTCCAACTAGCACACTCACTGAAAAGAAGGAAGAGCAGAAAGTAGTTTGAAATGTTCTGTTGTGGAAAACAATGAAAGTGTAAACTGGATTAGTCAAAATGATTCAAAAGATTGAAAAATTGAACAGACTGACGGACTACGACACATGGGACAAGAGAGTGAGTGAGTATGAAAAATATGAGGTGGTTGGACTGGCAAGCCCTATCATTTAATCAGAATACATTACATATAATCCATAAGCTATATATATGTCAGCCTGTTCTTGGAGCACAGCCCCAAAAGTTATCGGAAGTGAAGTTCAAGTTTTAAGTCTAAAATTCTTTCAACACTATCTACACATTAATCAGGGTTGTCCAATTGTCCAATTGTGGTTTGTGGTGTGAATGGAGTTATACATTGCCAAACAGAAACATCATTCACTACAACTACTTAACTTCTTAACAGGTTAAGAGTGCCAGTCTTCTGTTTCAGCACCCCCTGGACCATCATAGTACCCCCGATGCAGTTGACTTTAGCAAGCCATGGACATATTGGACATCCTCAAATTATTTGTTATATAGTAGTGTTGAAAGTATGTTGAAAGTATTAAAACGCTTGCGGAGTGACAATATTCAAACTTCGATTAAGTATATGAAGTGGGTACTTCTCGGAAAGGAAAAATTTAGGCAAACACGATGTGACTATTTTTGGGTTGATTTAATACAACTGCAAAAAATTATTCAAACTTAAAGCAAAAAAGTCAAAATTTTTACCACTTTTTTGGATTTTTACCTCAGAACAAATAGAGGGATTTGTTTTATTTTTATACAATCTTGTGCGGCTGTCTTTTAGCTATCTTTATGCAAGTTTTGCCGACATGCCAACAAAATTAACTTGCTCAAAATATCAAAAAACATGGTTTTTTGGCCTATTTTTGGCCCAAAAATCGGTTTTTTGCGATTTTACCCCAGAACAATCAGTCCAATCATCTTGAAACCACTTTCAATCGATTCTACGGTCAAAAATACGTCTAGTAAGGTGTATCTGGGGTCCCTAACGTATCGAGCAGACAATGCCCGTAAGAGCCTCTACTACCATGTCGCATTTCCGTGTTTGGTATAGCTGTGGTCGAAAGTTTGATTCGCATGCCTTCACGGTAAAATATTTTGATCTGAGTGTGATTAATAAAATCTTGGTCGTTAAAATGGTCAGAGCATACAAATATCGTCGAGATTTTTACATCCTCCGGTCTTCTTCCTATTCAGTATTTCCAGGTTATAATTGTGCAATGGGAAAATACTCTTGCTCCCTTATGCCTCTAGTTCAAACTGTTGCACAATCAACTTCTGATGCAAGCAAAGTGAAACAGGTATGGTATGCAGACGATGCAGCTGGAGGGGGAAAACTAGAAGAGTTCTGAGATGGTGGGAAAAACTTAATGAAACCGGGCCACTGTTTGGCTATTATCCCAATTTATTAATTTATAATATTATTATATTAATTATATTAATTTATAATATTATTTCAGAATTATAACTATTGTGAATTCAATAAAATAATTATCACTTTTGTATCCTTGTATCCTTGTATCCTTGTATCCCAAGCCAGCCAAAACATGGCTCATTGTTAAACCACACTGTAAAGAAAAAGCAGAAAAAATGTTTCCAGATTTACAAATATCAGAGGTTGGACACAGATATCTTGGATCATTCATTGGAACTGAGGAGGGGACAAAAACGTTTTTAGATAGTAAAGTTGATGAATAGATTAACGATATCGAAGATCTGGCAGATATTGCCAAGAGGGAACCTCAGGCAGCTTATTCTGCGTTCAACTATGGGGTATCTAAAAGATGGAATTATGTATGTCGAACAACACCTGGTATCAGTCAACACCTCAGGAGACTAGAATACAAAATTCAAGAATCCTTTATACCAGCAATATTGAACAGGTCGTTTGGAACCGACCAAACCAGTAGAAAACTCTTTGCATTACCAGTCAAAGAAGGGGGTCTTGGTATATACGATCTCAGTTTGATGTCTGATCTAGAGTACGAGTATTCCTGCAAAGTAACATTAGATCTTACAGAAGCAATATACAAGTAAAATACGATTTTAAGTAAAATACAATTTTAAGTAAAATACAATTTTTATTTTCCACAGAAGAATCAATACATATTGAATCCGATAATTCCATTAATATTCATTAAAAGTTGCTTTGTCATTTGTAAAATCAAAAACGAAAAGCCCTACGCTGAACGCGCGCGGCATTTTTTCTGCAGCTGCCTAGCTTCAAGCTTGTAGCCGCTAACACCGTAGCCGCCGCGCGCGCCCAGTGCTGGGGTGCATTCTCATTAACAATTAAACTTGGTCAAAGATATTTATATACAATTCCTAAATTAAATCAATAATCATTTTAATATGAGTATTCAACACTACTCGACAAAAAATATTTGCCGGCCCATCAACGATTCAGTCGCCGAAACAAAAATCAAATGTTTGCTTTTTCGTTTCAGGGACTGTTTGAACTCAGTACTATATCCGACTAATCACACTTTATAATGGTTAAAATACAAAGTAAAAAGATTTTCCTCGATGGGCCGGCATTCGCAACCGCGAAACGTTTTGAGTACGACAAACGATGACACCACCACCAGCCGTTAATTGATAAGTCCATGGGTGACGGGGGGGGGGGGGGGGGGGGGGGGGGTACCAATGGCATAAATGGCATAATGGAGAATTGGCCAATAAAAATTTCCATTTATGCCATAAAACGTATGCCATTTATGCCATTTTTGATATAATACATTTCTATTTTCTTTATTTGTCATATGAATCTTTAACGATCATTCCAAGCGTTATAAAGCATGAAACATGTCCCTTATTCAAGTACTAATAATAATTTGCGAATTTAAAGTCAAATATGAAGATCTAAATTCATGGCATAAATGGAGAATTGGCCAATCAAAATTTCCATTTATGCCATAAAACGTATGCCATTTATGCCATTTTATGCCATTGGTACCCCCCCGGGTGACGCCTTCGGCGCGAAAAGTGGCATGCAACGTATGTCAATAATTTCATATTGCCTATCACCTATCACCTAAGTTACTTTGCACATACTGCTTCTAGTTACACGATAGCGATCTCAGTTCCCAATAACGTGTGACCCAACAGAGCTGAGGGGATTGTGGAAGGACACGTACATTTTTCATTAACACGTGCCCTGATTACCCCCTCCGTTGAGCTACTATACGGGGAACGTTGACCGCCAGTCTGTAGTCAGATCGTTAATAAATTATACTTTAAAATTGGTTGCCGGGTGATGGTGTCAGTGAGAGACGTTAAGTTAGGTGAACATTGGTACAAAAATATAATAATCTAGCAGTTTATCTCAAAGTTAAAATCACTATTTGTTAAAGTATACAAACAGTTCTATTCAAAAGAACAAAGTCCGAGAGCAGAGAGAAGATTTGGAGACTATACACTCATATGTGGGGTTTAAATTTGGTATTAGTAATTTTAGGGTTCGACCGAAAATGTTGGTCGGTTGGTTAATAGGGAGCAGTCACTGTCATTAGAATTATCAGATTAGGAGCAACAATTAGAATCAAATTGGACATATTGTGTATTGTGTACTGTACACTTACCATTGTTTTCTTGAGCTCTATAAAATCATGAAATTCCGTGCACCGATTTCCCTCCATGAAAATTTCACCTGCTCAAGTAGGAAACCCACCCTTATACTAAGCCAAGCAGACCCCCCTGACAACTTCAATAGCAGAACGACTCGTATTTGGAACGTAATTGTGCCTAAGCTTGGTATACGTGACTACTGTCTAAGTGTGGCCTGCCTGAAGTCTAGGATGAAGCAATCACTGCTCGTCAACCAGCATAACCATGCTGATCTTGATTGGACAAACAAAGATTTCGAATGCTCTAATCTAAATTTTGACATTAAGTCTACCCTAGGGTCCACACATCCAAAATGATTATCTTGAAATTGAAAATTAGCTGGGTGTGCATTTTCCTTTGTCTTACTAACGTGTGTGAGCGCAGTGTAGTGAGAAAGTGTTTTTAACAGATTTATTATTAGACTTAGGATTATGATTTTTAATATATTCCATTGATATAAGATTTATTTTTGATAGGTACTTAATAAAGTTGATGAATTTCCCTCCCTATTAAAATTTTAAACCCATTTAGTGAAAATTGATAAACGAAGATCTAGATATTGATACATATTATAACCAACATTGCTTATATTCTGCCTTGTAAACAAAGAGCAAATCTTCTTAATGCCTTCTTCCTGTCCTAAAACTAAAACTTCATCCTATTAAAGTAAAGGCCAGTTGTTACCACAAGCTATTATACCGTCCCTCTCAAAAACATGCCTCAGCCTCCATCAAAAACAATTTTAGTTTTCAGTCCTTCTAGTTTCCAAAAATCTACCGAGCTAGTGTTCTGGTGTGCACAAAAGCCCCTAAGCCCGTGCATTCCTTGCCCCGCTAGCTGCCAGTCCTTGACAAACTTCCAATAGCAAAGATCAACTAGTCATTTACAAATTGAGCACTATACAATTTTAATTGTTTTAAATATTTGACTTTGTAAAATGAGCTAAAACATTGATTTATTAGTTTCATTGATTTATTAGTTTCATTGTGAAATCAGTGAAAACTAGAATGGCGGTAAAATGCTAGCGCGCCTTGTTATGCGCACTAACATACTAGCTGCTGAAAATAAAGAAGTATATGCATGATAATGTCGTTTGGCGGCAGCGCCTGCCGATACCTGGATTATATTGTGTTTAACTTAGAATTCAGTGAAATTTTTGTCATTCCATTCAGCACCATACCTGTTTTGGGCATTCATCAATGACTTTTGTAATTTATTCTTAACAGAAGAACAAGAGGAATTAAAATTAAATGAGCCAATTTTACAAAACTCATTCCACAGCCACGCTGATTTATAGATGAATTGTTTAGTTGGAGAAGGTGTGATTAACATATTGTCTTTCCTATGAGATATGGTGAACAAAGAGAACATTGAAATTGGTACTCTTGTCTTAATTATAAATTGGTACTCTTGTCTTAATTATTTAATTATATTAAATTGGTACTCTTATATAATTAAAATTCCATTAGGCAACGTAGTCTATATAGGTTCTCTACAGCTAGTAATTTATGTTTTGCAAATAGAGGTTTGGTAGACTCCTTAACATAAAAATCGCAACCCAAACGTTGGGAGCCGAACGGTCTAACTCTAGCACATGTTTTGAATTTGTCTACATACCTTTTATGGTCTCCAAATAGAATTCTTATACATTTCTTCTGAGTAATAAATAGTGGTTTTAACTGGATATTAGGAATACCTCCCCACACAGAAATAGCAAAACCGAGATGTGATTCAAAGAGAGAATGGTAAATTTGTTTATATAGTGATTCTGGTAAGCATTTCTTAATACGGTAGATACGTCCACAAGCACTGCTTAGTTTTTTGTTAAGAGATTGTATGTGTGGTTTCCAACTTAATTTGTCATCAATAATTACTCCAAGGAATTTAGTTTGACTAACACGCTTGATTACCTTGT